AAGACATTGGAGATGCTCTAATCCTCAGCATAGATAATTCGATTGAATCCTGGATTTTGGATTCAGGTGCATATTTTCATTCGTCTCCAAATAAAGAGTTGTTCTGGAATTTCAAGTATGGAAATTTCAAGAAGGTGTATCTTGCCGATAACAAAGATTTGGAGATTAAAGGAAAAGTGGATTGTCTGCATAAAAACTCTAGCAGGAAATCAGTGGACACTAAAGGATGTCAAATATATTCCTGATCTCAAGAAGAACCTGATCTCTATTGGTCCGTTGGATAGCACAGGTTATACAACAGAGTTAGGGAAGAGTTCGTGGAAGATTATGAAGGGTGCTATGGTGGTAGCACATGACATAAAATCTAGAACTTTATACACCATTGCAGGGTGTATGAACATGGCTGTTGTTGCTGAGAGTGCTTCAAAATTCAAGTCTATGGCACAATAGACTTGGACATATGAGTGTGAAAGGAATGAAGATGATGGCTGCGAAAGAAGTTTTAGAAGGTCTGAAATCTGTTGATGTGGGTCGTTGTGAGAACTGCATTATGAGCAAGCAAAAACGAGTTAGCTTCACAAGGACTGCCAGAGAATTGAAGAAAGTGCGGTTGGAAATGGTCCATATAGACGTAGAGCAAGGTTCCAAAACAACGAAACAAATGGGAGTTGAGCTTGAGTTGCAGGGAAACTCACCTAGTGATGTTGTAACAGACACTCATGAAACTCCAGAGACTATTGCTGAGGAACCAGATGTGGAGCAAGGTTCCAAGACCACAAAGTAGGTGGGAGTTGAGTTTGAGTTGCAGGGAAACTCACTTAGTGATGGTATAGCAGATACTTATGAAACTCCCGAGACAATTATTGAGGAACCAGATATGGAGCAAGGTTCCAAGACAACGAAGCAAGTGGGAGTTGAGGTTGAGTTGCAGAAAAAATCACCTAGTGATGTTGTAGCAGATACTCAAGAAACTCCTAAGACTGTTGTAGAGAAACCAGCGGTAGAGCAAGTGACACCTGAACCGGTGTTGAGAAGATCATCCAGTACTATCAGAGTACTAGATATGTATGTACCTTCATTACACTATATGTTGCTGATGAAAAGGACCCATAGTCCTTTGATGAGGCCCTATAGTTGGAGGATACAACCAAGTGGGAGCAAGCCATGATTGATGGGATGTCTAGACTTCAAAAATCCATTGTACTGAGGCTGAGTACGTGGCAATAGCTGAAGCTGGAAAGGAGACGATGTGGATGACTGACTATCTAGAAGAATTGGGCAAGAAGCAGCACGAAAAGATTCTTTAGAGAGATAGTCAGAGTGTCATACAGTTGGTGAGGACCCAGTCTATCACTTAAAGACAAAACACAAAAGACGATACCATTTCACTTGTAGGTTAGTGAAAGATAGTGATGTGTTTGGAGAAGTTAGAGGGTGCAAAGAATCTAGCAAACATGTTGACAAAATGTGTTGATGTTGGAATATTGAGGATGTGCAAAGCCTCAATGTGTATAGTGTAGTGAAGATGCTCATGATCGTTTGAGAATGAAATTCTTGACTGACTGGATCAGTCTCCAAGTGAGAATTGATAGGCTATAGAGCTCCAAGTGAGAATTGATAGGCTATAGAGCCTGATGCTTATTTATAGCTTAGTCGGTTATACATGGTAAAGTTATATATGGTAAATGACATCTAAAGTAAATTGTCATAAATAGTAAATAACTATGTAGGGTAAAAAGCTATATCAAGTAAAGCTATATATAGTAAGCTGAACTATATATATATCTACTAAGGCAAAACTTTGAAAATGTACTTTCTGTATTCTCTTACGGTACATATTTGTAATCATCAATACAAAACCTTTAGCCAATATTCTTCCTGCATTTTCTCTATCTTGTTCTTTGTGTTCATCTACATCGAGTGTGTGCGTTGTTGAGCGATCCTAACATGTACCTCTGGGCCTAACTACGGGTTAGCGCACATTCACGATACTGGAAGTCACAGAGAGAAAGGAACACGTACAATATCATGGTGTATGCATCTGTACTAATCATAATGAATAAAGTATCCTGATGCACATGACATATAAAATGCATGAGATTTCATAATTTCAAATCATGGTACATACTTAAAATGCCACTCATATCTCACTTTTTTTTTTTGTGACATGGCATCCCTATGAGACATGCATACATATACTAGACATATTTTTAATGGTTAACACACATGATTTATCAATGTTTCAAAGGCGTGATGTGAACATGTTAACATAATACACATAGTGTAACATTTGGAAGTACATACATCATATAACATTTATATCATAACAAAATTTCATAACATAGCATAATCATACAAACATAACATCATAAAAATATGACACGAACAAAGGCCACAATGTACATGTCATTCATACAACATAGAAATCATCAAACCAAGTCCATGGACGTCCAAGAGTAAAACTACTTACTTGATTGGCCTAAGTCAAAGCTGCTAATTATTCTTAGAACAAGTCATAATCTACTCATTAAAGTTCAATTCAACCTATATTTGGCCCACAACATGGGATTATGGGTCGGGTCTGGTTACTAGCAATGGGTAGCTATTAGGTTTGAGGTGCATCTAGGTTAGATTGCATAGATCGTTGGGCTGGTTTGACAATTGCAGTGTGGCTGGAGCAGTCTAGGTCGTGGGCATCGCTAGTGTATGGACTCAACAGCCAAAGGTGATCATGTTCAGTTCCTTCTTCTTTCTTCTTTCTTCTTAGTCTCCAAATTGGTGAAGGATGGTAGGGAGAAGGAGATGGAGAAGTAGAGAGAGCAATGAGATGTGATGAAGAAAATGAGGGGCTTGGGTTGTATAGGGATGTCTGACATAAAAGTAGTACGTGGCTTGAGTATTCTAAGAAATACTCAGTAAATGACCCCATTATTGGGATTAAATGCAAACACATACAATCATGAATGAGATCTATCATACGTTTATTTTCCTATGTAGCTATCCTATCAGACAATTAGATGTGTACTTAATTTCCCTACACAGTCCACACAGTCTATTTTCCTACGGCAGCTATCTTAACAGACAATTGGATGTGTATTTAATTTTCCTACACACGATCCACACGTGCGAGTATATGGACCAACAAGTCGGTTCGCACACTTTCAAGCCCCTTTCTAGTCAGGCGATGAGCATTCTATGGTAGTTGTTGATGTCAGACGCTCGTTAGGAATAGCGACCCTTACAACAGCATTATGATACATATAATGATTATTCCCCTGTCTTGTAGCGTACGCGTCCGTACTATCGTGAATGAGAATGGGTATCCCCCAATACATGAGCACACAATAATGCATGAAGTCTCAATATTTTTTTATTTTTATTATCATTTAATACAACCTCACAGGCGTTTTCCTTCATATCATATCATTTCTCATATCTTTCATGTGTACACCGGAATTGTATTTCATGCTAGCTTGTCATTTTGCATCTCAATCATATCATATCAATCATGTTACACATATATCACATCATAACATTTTCATGCTTTCAGACATAACAGTCCGCATCATGCGTATATCATATTAGTCACATAACATATCTCACGCGTGCCTTCAACATATCATATCACAAACATATTAATTCATCAAACACATCGTACCATAACATATATCATATGATTCTCATATCATATCATAGTCATATCATTTCGTAAACACTTCATAGTCATTTCGTTCCATATGCATACCCTAGTCATAAAGTTTGCTAAACTTGTAGTTTTATCGTTCTTATACATATCAAAGTCATATGGTTTCATCAACATATCTTAGTCATATCGTCTCCCAAATATATCCTAGCGATATCATCTTATGACGTATCCTAAACATATCGTTTTATCAAACCTATCATAATCATATCATAACCATATTGTTTCATGAACATATCTTAATCATATTGTCACAGTACATTTATCGCATCCTTCTCATATTCTATCTCAAATGTATCATTGAACGCATCATACCACAAGTGTTATCAGACCATTCACATATCATAACATAGTCATATCGTTTCATAAGCAATTCACACATATTAAATATATGACACGTGCAGAACCACGGGGCACGTATCAACACACAATATCAATTCTAACCATGTCGATAGTAAGACTACTTACTTGATTGGCTTTAGCCGACGTTCTATCCTATTCCACCATATTAAAAACTTTCGTCTAATTCTTAAAAAGAGTACATAAGGGAAGGAAAAAGCTAACAAAACCTTGAAGAGGAAGGGAGGGAATGATTGAACCACCCATTTTCAAATCAAGTTGAAAGAGTTGTGTGAAAATTGCATATCCTTGACAACTTTTTTTCTTTTTCTTTTTCTTTTTTATGGTAGTTTTTTTTGGAGTATGAGAGGGGAAAGGGGAAGAAAAGTTGGTTGGTGGTTGGGAGAGTTAGAAGTGGAGGGAAATTATGGGGGGAGTGGTTGAAGAAGCTTTTTTTTATTTTAATTTTATTTTTTTCAGATGGCAGGCCTAAATTCGAGTGTATGGAGATGTGGTATAAGTAAGCAGTTTTGATCCATATAGCAAAAGTTTTTTTTAAAAAGTAATAGATATTAACATAAGAGGCATTTTTAAAATTTAGAAGTATTTTTTAGTAAATTTTGAGTTGGGTTGTAAAAATTTTCTAGTTATCAATCCAATCCTAACATTTAGGTTGGCCTAAAAAATTCTCTCAACCCAACCCAACCCGACCCATGTCCACTCTTATTGGGCTGTATTCAAATAAACAAAAATTTGATAAGATAAGAAAGAAAACGAAAAATAGAAAGGTTATACTAATTGAAACATTATGATACCCAATGCTACATTCTTTATTTCCAAACATCAAATCTATGATGCATCAACATAGTGCTCATCTATCTAACACAATAAAATTTTTATTTATATAACGTGCACAATCAGTGTCTTTAATATACATACATGTTGAAGCCCATTAGAATACATAGAAAAGGCGAAAATATATATAAAGCCCATTATTAGTGTTGTAAAACATGTAATGAAAGTGTCATCAATTTCAGAGCTGATCATCGACTATAATTGATATCCAAACTGGATGGAAAATAGAACAAAAAAAAAAGAAAAATACAAGACATTCATATAAGAATCCCCCTCCCCTCTTTGTTTGTTTCTCAAGGACCTTTGGGTTCAAGGGCAGCAATTTCTCTAACAACATGAGCTTTGTCGGCCTCAAACTGTCCATCCTCTGTAATAAAAGCAGAGTAGAGTTGAAGAACACAAGAACAAACAAAGCCAAGAATCAATGGTGCAAAGATTATGTTGTTGTTGTTGTTGTTGTACCTTTATCAGTTTTGAAATCAGCGAACAGCCTTAGAAGCTTGCTCCGGTTCGTAACGAGAATGCCAACGATGTCGGCGGGTTTGTTTTGATTTGCAACAAACAGCTGTTGATTTAAAAACATGAAATCCGACGATCGCCATAAGGTTAGTCAGTCTTAGAGACCAAGTTGAGAGCATTACCTTAAAAACATGAAATGCTTCTAGCTGTATGCTCTTGCTCGACTCCTGCACAAGTTGAGGAATTTACTATTTTACAGTGTTCGGTGCATAAACATCTTAGAACATAAACTGAGATTTCACAGGGGCAGTTTAGAACAGTTTAAGAAGAAATATGAACCACAAGATCAAGATCTTACCCTGAGAAGATTCATGACAATTCTCAAATTGTCCCTTGAACTCACATAACGTGTCATCACAGCTGAATTTGACCTATCCAGCAGTATATCCCCCAACAGCTGAACAAATAAAATTGAAAAATAGCTGTGGTTATCAGGGTTGCACACAGTTCGACAAATATAAAAGTGATAATACGACACAATCTTCACATATAAGTAGATATCTGTGGAAAATTATGATAAACAAAAATTGCGGTCCAACTAATCCGTACATGATAACAAACAACATTATTGTTTTCTAGAGTCTAGACTGAGATAAATGTAAAACGATACACGACACCAATAGGAAAACTATGTTGAGATTGGGGAGAGGAAATCAAGCACTGCAGAGCGGATATGCAAGAAAGAAAGCAAGAATAAAGGCGATAATTTTAAATTGTCAAAAGTATTATGTCGAGTGGCATTGAACTCTGTTAATTGCTTTCTTGCAAATGCACATACATTTCTTCCATAGATATCCGATATCCCCATTTCGATATCAGTGTTACGTTTAGAAAGATTTTAGAGTTCTAAGTAACCGTACCTTCACTGCTTGCCGTCTCGTAATGTAATTAGTTGACTCAAGTAACTTCAAATTGTACTCCGCAAAAAACTGAACCAGTGAAAAGAAGGCCAGAGGCAAAATATTAAACACAAGTGGCACCCTATGTATAAGATGTGAGAACTGCAATTTATAAAGAATAAAACACAAACATCCAGAAAAGCTAAAATTCCAGAGAAAAATTTAGCATCAATACGAAATAAAGTAATGCAGTAAAGGAAAAAGGTGATACAGATTTTAGATCTCAACCGTCCAAAAGATGTAACTACGAAATAAAGTAGCATTTTCAAATAAACTTCACAATGAAATGAAGATACCATAAATGGAAAAAGAACGACTGGACCCGAAGAGTAAAGTCATGATACGCTTCAAGGAAGAAAAGACACATTACCCAGTCATAATTCTTGGAAAGAAATTCAGCTACCGTAGATTTATGCCTTGTCAACAATTCCTGCAACAAAGTATAATATAGCATCACCATAACATTTCTCGTAGAGATGCAACACGCCTAACTATGCATTACAACGAAATAGTACAAAACAAAGCTCGAACATGATGTGTTTCCTTGACAGAGAATCAATTCTTTTATCGCCAACCAACATTTATCAATTGAATGCCCATTCCAGTTATGCCCTCTTTCTCTCTTCCCTTCTTTTTTTTTTTTTACTTCATTTATTTATCTTTGTCATGGTAGCATGTACGAGGACTCAATATTACTAAGAGAGAGAGAGAGAGAGAGAGTAACGGGCTTGAGCAGATATTGTCTTCTTTGGTTTTTCCCTTTCGGGCTTCCTCTCAAGGTTTTTAGAATGTGTCTGCTAGGGAGAGGTTTCCACACCCTTATAAAGAATGTTTCGTTCTCCTCCCCAACAAATGTGGGATCTCACAGAGAGAGAGGAGGAACATAAGGGCACCAAAAGTGAGATGAAAGGGGAAGCAACAAAAAGAAGTGTCTTTCGACCTTAAAAGTTGCAGCAGCATCTGCAGCAATGTCGAAGTTTGGAAGCTGAATATAATCGAAGAACTTTTTCATGTGATGCGATTCCAAAACATACCTACAAATAATCAGAAAACCTTTCATTACTTAAGGAGAATCCACATTAATAGTTCAGATGAAAATCAAAGAACCTAAAAATTTGTCACATATATTGACATTTTGTTGACGAAAATATGAGGAAACTTAAAAAGGAAAGTACTTCTGAAGTCTAAAATGACAGCAGAACTTCTAAATTCTAGTAGATTTTCATTGATAACAAACTGTTGGTTGATCGGTATAAAAGTGAATATAATAATCATGATATTTTGTACTTCTGATTATCAATATAGCTTCATTCAGTATGATTGATCCATTCACAAAATTTCAGAAGGCTATAGAAACTACAGCATGTCTATTCGAAAGGGTAAAGACTGATTACTGCACTACTAAGTATCATTTGTGAAGCTGAAATGATATAGCAAGCCCACATTTCATTTTAATTATACACGAACCATCTACATATGTAATTTCTCAGATATGGCAAGAAAGATCATTCATTGTTGTATAATGATAACATACAAATAGTACCCACTTGCAAGTGGAAACAAGTCAATGATAATAGAATGTTCTGGCACAAGAGTACTCATATTGACCGATAGTAACAATAGAACTTACTTAGCAACACTTTGGTGACGTATGCATTCCCGCAGCATGGCGCCATAGTGTAAAGCCATGTCTGTATTTTCATAACTGTAAAATGTAAAAAGAAAAAGAGAGAGAGACCACTATGAGATAATACCTAATACAGAAATTATTTCATGAAAACTATAAATGTAAAAAAAGAGGAGCATAAAATAATTAATATAGGAAAGTACACAAAAAGTTTCACAATGAATGATGCAATAAGGGCCTCTATTCATGCTATGCTTCAATAAAGAGGGGAAAATACATTCAAGACTTTGTTCAAAATAAAAGAGAATGTACTATTTACCAATCTCAATCGATAGTAGTATTCAAGAGTTCTTGAAAATCATGTATTCCTTGGATTGTGATGCAGATTAGGTAAGGTACTCAAGATGGGTTAAGGAGAGACTGTATATGAACCACACATCAATGATCAACAACAATAAAAGAAACTACATTGAACAACCGGAGAGAAGCAAAAAAATTCAAGGTACTGGTGTTTCGTTTTTGAAAAACAACCGTATAGCCAAAAAAAAAAAAAGCAATCCACCAGTTTCATTAGGATTACCAAAATAGTGGAATTCAAGATATCTTTCAAGTTATCACAAATCTATGCACCAACAAGTCGCCATAAAATAATGGCTGCCATATTCAGATAATTCTGGCTGATCTCATCCATAGCACGCATACACTTTTGAGTATTTGCATGTGACAGTGTGTGAGAGAGAGCCCTTTCTACATCAAATAGCCATGGCTTTAGGATAAAACAAAATCAAAGAACGGATAAGCATGAACAGCAGCAGTCATTGTCTATTTAAATTTCAGATGTTAAGCAAATACGATTTCATTTTGTAAGCCATGATAAAAAAAATGTAGTCAAGAAAAGCAGTACGAGAGAGGGACAAGAAACATTACACCATTCAGCGACACCCATAATAAAGAATCATGACAAGAAAAATAAAATTCATCAGTTGGTTACCCTGCTATTAAGATATCCATCAGATCAATGTTTGCTTCCAAATAATCAGATGCAATCAATCTGGACTGAACTTGTTGCCTCTGTAGATTGGCAACTACTTGAGTAGCATCTTTTCTTGTCTACAAGATGTTACACACGTCACATGTAACATCAAAGTTGAAACTAAAAATGGTAGCAACAAGAAACCACAAACTTAAGAACATATAAACAAAATGCTCGAACGGAACTTTAATATGGAATCTAAATAAGAAATTTTCTTTCAATCTCCCATTCTGCTCACCTCCAAGTACATCACTGTGGAATCTCAGAAGTGTATCAACAAGAAACCACAAAAATAAAACAAGCAAAATAATTCAATGGTGATTTGAAAGCTGAAAAAACCAATTAGCCCCATGCCGCTTACCTCCAAGTTCAATTTAGGAAGACAATTAATGAGTAGCCGAAGTGTATTCTCTCTGAAAAACTCCTGGGTTAGCTGTGCACATGCTTCTGCAACTGGTTCAGACTCACTGTTGCCATAAAGTATTGATTTCAACTCCCTAACGTTTTTACTTAATTCCAACATCTGCTGAAAAATGCATAGTGCACAGATACAGTTAGAAATTTATTAAAATTTGGAAAACAAAAATATACTTAGTGGTTGAATAATGGAGGAACCACGACCAGAATACATCAAACTATCAAAGTTGACTTATCCCAGCATTATACAAAAGGAGTAACCCGGTACACTAGATAGCAAACAACATGTTCTTAAGTTTAATTTGAAAATTAGCACCAACATAAAATCAAGTTTCAATGACAACAAACTCTATAACACCTATCTATGGTATGAGGCATCCAGATGATTAAATAACTTTCCAAATATAAAAGAATAAGAAATATCACAAGATATTCTCCAGAAATCAGTTTATAAGAAAATAATAATAAATTAGGCGTCTCCATAAAGATGTTGTTAAAGCACATCAAATCACTTATTCTCTCTAAATATTAGACCCTTCTCAACCGGCGAAACACTCTTGAAATTTTTCTAAAATTATTTTATATTTCTTTTTTTCTTTCTAATTTCTTAGATCATTCACATATTTGCATTGAATTTGATCAAATTTAAATCGCTCTAGAGAACAACCCTCGCTGTATCTTATGGCCAATCTTTCAATTCAACACTACATTGTTGGATGTCAAGAATCCAAGGACTGAGAAAGAGACTCTGGAAAAGTGCTACAGAAAGCCCGACTTCATACTCTATAGTTGCTACACTAAAGATAAAGGACACCCCTAAGTGAGGTAAAGAGGGGCCAAAAACTCTAACTCTTCTTCATTAAGATTTCACTCAAAACTAAAGAAAAGAGAAGGGCAAGGTATGAATAGGGGTGAGTGAAGCAAAAAAATAACACTTCCAATAAAACAAGCGAATAAACAAAAAGGATATAATGAGAAGAGTCTTGAAAAGATACATTCTACTAAATCAAATACAGATTACAAAGGATGGGAAATGGTTTTCTAAGACAGTCACGACAATCTTGGGCACAAGAAGTCCTATACTAAAGAAACAACAACCATTCATGAAGAAGCACCAAGTTGTAGCTGATGAGATTGTGAAACCCAAGGCATGGCTTCGATACAAATCTCCAACAGTTCCACCCGCTTCACCATCGAAAAAATAAATGAAAGCAACAAGAGAAAACTCGCTCTCCCCCCTCAAAAAACCCCATCTTCCAGGAGGCAGTGCTTACAGAACTTCCTCACCCCATGATCCAAAAATGAGATCCATCCAGGATAAATGTAATTACAACCATTATCTAATCTTGAATGATGGGAAGAAATCAGGCTACTAATAATTGGATAACTTTAATCCAGACACACCATTATATAACAAAATGACACAATTATTTTGTACATCGATAAAAATTGCTAAAAACTAAAAGCAAAGAAAAATGAAACCATCATTGAGTGCATCTAGCTGCCTACTTAGACATTAGGGACACCAGAAAATCAAAAATCAACAATTCACAGAAATTCACAAAAAGGCAAAAAGGGCAAAAGAATTCACAAAAATTCGATACGATCCCAATTCCTTGAGAGGCAGAACAGAATAATAGAAACATTTAAACAGGAAGAAGGAAATCTAAAGTAGAAACCCCAACTGGGAAGTAAAAAAAAAGTGGGGGGATCGGACCTTTTCCTCGCGCTTGCTCTCCTTAGTCTCAGGGCTCCGGTCAGTATACATAAGAAGATCGCGGGTCTGGCGGACAACATCGACGGGAGTCCGTGGCTTCGGCTTGAAGAGGCTCTTCATCTTGGTCGGATTCTGGGAATCCAAAACGGACGCCGATTGCGACGGTAGTGATTGTGATTGTGGTTGTGGTTGCAATTGCCGCAGTAGCTGATTTTGATTTTGATTTTGAGAGAGCCTCTGCACCACCGACGAGGCTCCCCGTGATGGAGAGGGCTTGGATACACAGCTTCCTATTTTGGCTAATTGTGTGTGAAAATCTGCAGTAGATGATGGGGGAAATCAAGATCAAAGGGTTTTGTGATGCTCCCTTGTCGCCTCTTCAATGGACCAGATTTTTGGGCTTTACACAGACGATGCTGGAAAACATCAGATCAGATCGTGCACAATTTCTTCAACCTTCCTCTCATCCTTTTCTTCTAATTTTCATGTTCTTATGAGCATTAAGAAAATTAACACGCCTGAATTTTGGTTTAATTTGAATCTTGTCCCTACAAATTTCGAAATTTACAAAGTCAATCCCTCAACTTTTTTTTTAATTTATATCTAAAATATCTTAAACTATTAAATTATTCAACTTTTATATTTTTATCATATATATTGTTTACCAATTTTTTAAAATTGAAAATTAAAAAAATTTATTTATGTTTTTAAAATTGGGAGAATTAACAAATCTAAAAAGATTACCAGATTTAGATTTGTTCTCAATTTTGAATCTTAAAAAGATACTAAAAATTTATGGATTAAATTTGTAATTTAGTAATTTTGATGGCAACTGAGTTAATGAATTTTCTCATAGGCATATTTGGTTCGACTTTTAAAAAAATAAATTTCAATTAAAAAATTATTTTAAAATTTTCAAATAAATTGTTAATTTCTCGTGCAATTATGTCGAATCATACAGGTCTATGTCACGAATAAGAACATTTCTGTAGATAAATTTCTGATTTATTTGACATTTTTTAAATTTTACAGATTTATTAATAAAAAAATTTAAATGTGTCCCGTATTTTTAAATTGATGTAAAATGAGTTCGTGATTTTTTTAAAAAAATATTTAAAGATTTAAGATCTCTGTTTATAAATATACTTAGATTTAATGAGCGATTTCGAACAAAAGTTTGATGTTGTTCTGGTTCTAAATAATTTTTTAATTAAAAAAATGAAAGGCTTATTATTAACTTTTTATAATTTAAATAAATTATAAGTTATGAATTTCATAATTTATTTCTTTAGGATATTAGAAAAATATTTGATAATAGACCATTTTATAACATTAAAAAAAAAAAAAAAGTCAAAGTCAACCTTAAAAAGCAAAACGGTCATTTTGATACTTTTTTTCTAATGAATAGGCTATAAATTACTAAATCTAATATTAAGGAGGGGAAAATGAGAGAGAAGGAATTAGGGTTTTGGGGGACAGACGCGTAGGTTATAAGGTAGGGAACAATTATTATGATTATCATAATGTTGCGACGGTCAGTGGAAAAACGATCATCATGTTTATCTTAATGCTACTATGGTCGCTATTCCTAAACAGGTGTCCGACATTAACAGCTACTAGAGAATGCTCGTCCAACAAGAAATGGGCTCAAGAGGTGTGCGAACCAACTGATGGGTCCATACTCGCACGTGTGGACCGTGTGTAGAATAGTAAATACACATCCAATTAGCCCGTTTAGGATAGCTGCCTAAGGAATATAGACGGCTATGACAGGTCTCAATCATGAAATTGTATGTATTTGCATTTAACTTTAATAGTGAGACCACTTATTGAATATTTCTTAAAATACTCAAACCACATGCCTATTTCTATTTCAGGTAAAGGCAAGACATTCTTGTCCGGCTACGACAACATCACAATTTGAGACCACAACACATGCATAGGGTAGTCACATTTATTTTTTTAGACTTAGGTTAGAATATGATGTTTTTAATTTAAATGTTCATTTAGTTTATTGTTGTGTTGTTTTAAAGATGTTTTCGAACACGTAAGTCCATGACTGTGTTTTAAGATGAAATTTATGTTTTATGAAGCTTGAATGCTTATTTTTGCATAGAAATGATTTCGTTATGATGACGATAGCGACTCTAGGTAAGTAGAAATCTAGGATCGTTATAGTTGGTATCAGAACTCTAAGTTACAGATCTTATAGACTAGCCGACAATGAAGGCTTGACATGTTTCATGGTCTCACCGTTGATGCCCTGTCACCGTCAGATATGTCCTACATAAGATAAGAAAAAGAGATGTTATTGACGGTTTATGTGCTACGATTTCTTGATACGATTAAATGCAACTTAACATGAAACTTTATGGCCTGATTCTATCCTCGAGTATGATAAAATTCAAATTTGTTAAATATCTACTGATATTTAAAAACGGTTTAAATAAAAATTATTATTTTTAATATATTAAATATTAAAATATATTATTTTAAATATGACAAAAATCATAATTAATGCTCTATAAATAGGAACCTTGAATTAGGTCAAAATAGTCATCCACTTTATTCCTCATTAAGTACGGTCAAAAGACTCGTCCTCCACCATCACGCCAAATATAACGTACATGCTTCAGTTGTAGATGAGAATAAAACATTTTTTGCAAGAGCGGGGCAACCTTTTCCTAGTTCACGCATTTTAAAATCTTGAGGGAAAGTCTGGAAAGAAAAACCTAAAGAGGATAATATGTGCTAGTGGTGAGCTTGAGCTGTTACAAATGGTATTAGAGCTAGACACTGAGCGGTGTGCCAGCGAGGACACTGGGCCTCCAAGGTAGGTGGATTGTGAGATCCCATGTCGATTAGAGATGAGAATGCAACATTCCTTATAAAAGTGTGGAAACATCTCTAGCAAACCCGTTTTAAAATCTTGAGTGAAAGCTCGAAAGTGAAAAGAGAACAATATCTCCTAACTCTGGGAGTTGACTCTTACATATGAAGATACAATGCTTTCATTATGCGAACCAAACATTCACTCCCTCCATTTTTTAAATTATTTTTTTGTTAATCGATTATTTAAATAAATTAAATTATATATAGGTTACTTGAAGCACATTGGGTGAAAACCATTAGAGGTGTTCATGAGTTGGATTAAATCGGGTTGCAACATATTTTAGATCGAATCTAATTGCTCTGAGTTTTAAATTTTTTCAACTAATATATTTGATTATTAAATAATAAACTCAACTCAATTCAGTCATAAATTTTTTTGAGCGGTTTATTATTTTTAAACATTCCATTAACATTTATATTTCAAAAAATTGTCTTTTAAATAATTAATTAGATTGATTGAACTTCTCCCTTATTCTTTGTTCAAGTCCGGTGTAGTTTACGATGTTCAATGAAATTTTGTCCCCTTTCAACCGTGAAAAGTCAACCATGAAATTATTCTCGAGATTCTAATTTCCTCGTTAGTTTTTTTAGATTGTTTACAAAATTCCTACCAATGGCTAAGGTGTATATGGTTCGGGTTGGGTTGGGTTGAGGGATTTTTTTTTTACTTAACCCAAAAGTTCGGGGTTGGTTGGATTGGTAACCCAACTCAACCCGAAACTTTTCCCAACCCAACCCAACACTCTATTTTCGAGTTGGGTTGTCAAATTTTTTTTAAAAAGTTTTATTTATTCACAATTTATAATTATTCAGATATAGTCTTAAATAAAATATATTAAAAGTTCACCAACAAACACAAATCCATATATAATTATTAAAAAAAAATAATAACAATAAATAAATAAATTCAATCAAAAGTGAAAATTATAATATATTAATCAACATTCTCATAAAACTAAAACAATTAGAGACCGACCTTTCTTGAGAATTGATTAGGGTAAAAAAAATGTAAGAATAGATTATGAAATTAAATAAACAATAAAAATGATTAGTTTAAAGATATTGTATATAACAAAAATAAAAATATTTTAATTGAAATATGTTTATGTTTCAACCACAAATAGATAATAAAAAATAAATAAAAATGTTTATGTTTCAACCCAATTCGAGTTCAGAAGTTCAGGTTGGGTTGATTCGAATTTTCAAGTTACATTAGAATTTAGAATATGAATCCAGTTCGGGTTCAGAAGTTCAGGATGAGTTGGTCCGAATTTTCAAGTTGTCGGGTTGAATGTACACCCGTACTAACGTCCCAATAGAGAATTCATAAATTTATTATTTATAAACACTTTTTTCTAAATAATCTTTTTTATATATATATATATACCTTTTAACCTACTTTATTTTAAATGGAATTTTCAATAATTTTATTAGTAATGGATCTTAAAGTTTTTTAAAATGTTCAAAAGATATTAAATAATCTAATGAAAAATATTAAATAATCTAACATTGAAGTTGTAATATATTTATGATCAATAATGTTAAAGAGTGAGATAATTCTCCTCTCTCAATTTTGATTTTAAAAATAAAGAATTTCTTTTTTTTAATAATTAGTAAACAGAGCGAAATTAGGGCAATATTCCAGAACAACAAAATATAAAAAATTAAAAAAAAAAATGTTGTCATTAATTGAAATAAATATTCATAATCTTAAAACCAGGATTAGATTGTAATTCCATTTTAGGCTGGTCGAGTTCGCTGGATCATAAACATCTATCACAATCTTCGGATTGGTTGTGGAAAATATCTACTTCAATTAACAGTTATGGGTACGTTCATAAAAAAAAGAAGAAAACAATCAGTTATGGGTATGGATGATTCTATATCAGTATAATAATTCATAGCATTAATTTTTCTTGTCTTTTCTAACCAAGTTGCAAGCGGAATAGTATTTAATTCAAAGTTGCTCAAAACTAAAGCATTTCCATAGACAAAAGTATACATAATTTTATTTATTCCCTTTTATACAGATAGGAAATCTAATAGCATTTGAGACATTTATAACATATCTTCGTAATAATATAAAATTTCCAAACTAACACAGATCAGATTATTGAAGAACACATAGATCTGATAACACAACAAAATCCACCAACGATTTCCCCAGAAATTTATACGAAAATCACCAAATTCCAAGAAACACATCATAAATTAGGGCTTTACTGGTTAATTAGCAACAGGCTTGAAGGACGTAAGTTCCATGAAATGCTGCCATGCCTTCTCCCAGATCAACGCCTGATATTTTCCGATCGATTCACCTTTCTTGGCCTCGATAACCAGGCGGTAGTTCATTCCGGAGACGACCTGCGATTCTCCTTTGACGACGTCCTTGAATTCGAGTGCGCCTTTCGATTGTTTGTTGTACTCAGACACCGCGAACTTTCCGATCTCTTGAATGTGCGGATCCTTCACGTCCTTGATCTTCTCCCAGCCGCCGACTAGACGCCCCATCCGAGCGGTGGCGACGACGAGAAGTGGGAGGAGAAGGATGAGGAAGAGAGAAGCGGAGCGGGATTTCATGGTAATCGAGGGGGGAGCGAAGGAAGGAAGGAATGGGGTAAATTTTTAGGGCA